AGGAAACAACCCTTCCTTCGAACAACAAGAGAAATACTTTCTCTTGTCAAGTGTCTAAGAACACTAAAAACACTCAAGAACAATACTCTCTTTTAGAGTGGATAATGAGTAACTAAGAACGCTCAAAAACACAACACAAGCTTCACAAAAATGGCTCTCAAAAAGCTATCAATAAAGGATGAATGATTTGCAATGGAAGAGTAGGAGTTGTGAAGTAATGTGATGATGTAAAACAGACCCAAACACCCCATTTTATAGTGGAAAAATAGGCTCCAACAGATCAAAACATTTAAGGGGTGATTGACACAATTTGTGGGATTTGATTAAATTTGGATCTGCTGAAATTCACCCAGACAGCGCTATCCTAGGCTTGGACATCGTTGTTCTAGGCTTGCGTTTTGAAAATTGGGAAGCAACGGTCATGCCAACAGCGATGTCCTATACTCCTACATCGCTATTTTAGCTGTTGACTTCCAAACAAGGAAAGTTTTAGCCTTAAATCCCTTCCAACGGTCAGGTCCCTACATCAATGTTCAATACTTGAACATCGCTGTTTAGGTCTGACTTTGAAGGTGGAGTTTTGGCCTGACAGCGCTGTTGCTGGGTCAACATCGCTGTCCAAAAACTTTCTTCCAATGCACTATATTTTTGGCTTAGGTTGGACAGCGCTGTAGGGATGGCTACATCGCTGTTCCAGATGTTTCTAGAAACCCAACCTTGGCTCAACAGCGATGTCTAACATGCATCGCTGTTGGAAGACTTAATGCCAAACCATGGTTTTCAGCTATCCAAGCCAGACAGCGTTGTTGGTTGCACCAACATCGCTGTTTGGCTGGTTTAGCCAGACCCATGGTTGGTTTAGTCATGCCGTTAGCCGATGTCAAAAACGTAAGTTCTCCAAAATAAAAACAAAGTATTGAAAACATTTCTTTATTACATTTTGCTAAGAAATCAAGTAAAACAACCAAAAAACCATGTCATTTAGTTGAAAACCATGGCTAACCAAGTTTGTGTCGTTTTGCATGGTTTTCACTAAACGAACAAAAAACGGAAGGTGGTTTTTGAAGCATTTTTGTTGGAGAAGTATTTAAGTATGCCCAGAAGTAAAAACCAATCATAAAAAGTTGAAAACCACTTGGTTGGTTCGGATGCCAAAAACCAATGCCGAAAACTGAAAGCCGAACGCCCGATGACTTGGTTTTTGGTTTAGGCGAAATCCAAGTGTTTTTAGGCATGTTTAAAACTTAAGAAAAACATTTTTGAATATGCAAAAAACATTTTGATGAAAAGAGCCTAGAGAGCCAAGGTCTGAAAGTTTGTGCCGGTCTTGATCACATTGAGACTGACTCAATACAATTCTACGTCTTCGTTCTTGATCCTTGGTACTTGGTTCTCATATCATCATGCCATGATCCTTTGCCTTGGTTTTGCTTGCTTTAGCCTTGTTACTTTCGGCGGTTTGGCATCATCAAAACCTGTCATAAAACGAACACGGTTTATTATGACGTAGACGTAAACCCGTGTTCCAACAACTTCTGGTCTGAGAATTACCTATGGTGGTCCCTGATGTTCTTCCCGAGTCTGTAAGCATGTTCCGACCCCCGGCAGGATATTTGGCCCAGATTGCCTACAATAATGAAGACAAGGAGGCACGTCTGAAACGTCCGCATTCCATCCTCATGTCTCTTCGCGAGCTCTCTCAGGCTATGTTTGCATGTCAGGATTCTGTGGACTCTCGCTTGAGGAGCATAGAGACGCTTCTTCTAACTTAGCAGTGGCAGGTAGAAGAAATCCTTGACCATATTTGGGAACACAAGAAGGAGAAAAGGGAGCATGAGGCAAGTCCTAAGCCTAGCAAGCGTCAGAGATAGTGAGATCCCTATTTTCCTTATTATCGCATTCAGAATATCATTTTGGATGCTCGTATGATTTTATTTTGGAATTCCATTTTTATGATTCTTAAAAACTCGTTTTTTGAAATTACAGTTCTTTTTAAATGTTATGATTATTTATTGGTTCGACCTGCGTAGTTGAATTTTTTTAGTATTGAGATAATTTAGTAATTGCATGTGAACATTTCAACCAATTACTCCAATTCCAAAACACTTTTAACCACGAGGGCGTGGTTTCGTTTAAGTGTGAGGAAGTAAGGAGTCATGGTTGAAATGACTCTTTAGGAGTTGTTTTACTTATATATTAAGAAGAAAAGATTTCATTAGAATAGTCATCAATTGTACTTGTTTGATTAATTAATCTTTAGTTTTCACCCGTAAAAATTTGGAAAATCACATTTTAGTAAGAGTTCTTAAGATTAATGAATTTTTAGTAGCTTTATTTAGAAACCTTGTTTTGGAAAAAGAATTATTTTCAAGTTTTGGGGATTATATCTCAAAGCATACTTTGGTGAGACCGAGATTCTTGTTTTAGCCAAAAAGCAATTTGTTCTATGTCAATTGATGAGGCTTGGTGAATATGCCAAAAAGCACGCGGTTCTATATTGCGTGATGAGGCCTTTTGTGTTATATCCGGGCCTGGCCCTATCATACCCTCCCCCATGTCCTACACCCTCGCAGAAACCAGAGGACTTAAGTTCAAGCATTATGATCCGTTTTAGTGAGAATTCCGAGTCCTTCAACCCAAGAGGCCAGAATAGCTTCGGACCCGAGGGTTCGACAGGCCAACTCCCACTCCGTCTAACCCAACCCAAAATATCCAAAACTTCTTGCCATTTACTTCATTTCAAAATAAAGTTTTTCCTACTCTTATTCAAGCCCCTGGCCAAAATAAGAATGTGTAAACCAAAACCTTTTGTTTGTGTTATTTTCCTTCTTCCAAGCCTTTCCAATAAACAAATAAAACGCTCTCTCTTTCCATTTTTTTCCTGGCCAATTAAACCTCACAATCCCAACATAAACACCCACAAAGGGCCAAAATCCTGACCCACCACTAGCCAACAATTCCTGCCCATGTTTCCCTCACAATAACCCAAAGCCATAACTCCAAAATACCCATAAATAATATCCAGCCCTGTCCCCTTTTAATGACCAGAAACAACCCTCCATTCTTACCCAAATAATACCCACAAAACCCAGGAAAACAACCGCTACAAACCTAAAACCCAAAACCCCACAACCCCCAGCCCCATCCCTGATTTTATTCCACTAAGGAGACAGGAATGAGTGGCCAATACCCCATGCCTTGGAAGAGATTGTTGCAAGGAAGCTTCCCTAAGTTAACATTCAATGTATTGTGAATTATCTCCCCCTTCCCCTGCCTATATAACTCGGGCCTTATGGCCATTGTAACACAACTTTGATTATTAAAAACTCCTTTTACTCTTTGAGTATTTATAAAATAGTGTGATGCTATTTTAGCCAAATTCCTAATTCTATATCTTAAGAGTGGTTATCTTAAGTGTGAGTTTTAGGTTCTAGATATTTGATTAAGTGTGTCATATCTTAATTAAATTCTAGATTCAAACCCCAAGTGAGGATAAGAGTGTAATATCTCTTAAACACAAACTTGGTTTATCCATCACTCATTTCTTCCATTCCATATCTCCTCATTTCTCCTCTTAATCTTACTCTTTTCTTCCATTAAAAACACCCAAAAGAACTCCTTTATCATCTCCATATATTTCTAAGCCATTTCCCCACAAAACACCCCTTCTCCTGCCCAGAATTCTGCCCAACAATCGATTATCTTGATTGACAATCGATTATCCATCATCGTTGAAATACCTGCAGCCTTCAATAATTGACTGTCCACTTTAGACAATCGATTATCACTTCCTCTTGAAATCCTGCAGTCTCTAACAGTCGATTATCACTCGTTGTCAGTCGACTATCTTCCCCTCCTGAATTCCCTTGGAATAAGCTGCGAGCCTCAATAATCGATTATCATATACTGATAATCGATTATCCGCTTTCCCTGAAGTTTCTGGGTTTTAGCAGCACAGCTCCACAATCGATTATCACCTGGCCATAATCGATTATCACCTGCTCCTGAACCTTGAACTCAAGATGCATCATCCCTTAATTCCTTCTCAAAATAACAACTCGTTAAGACCCCCGGTTCGGGTATAACATCAGGTATCAAAGCTTCTTGTTCCTACATCCCAAAGGACCAAGAACACACTTCCATTCTTTCTCCATTCCTTCATCATCATTCCGACCAACCCCCAGCCATAAAAACCACAACCACCTTCCCTTTTAAAACCCATGTCTCACATCCTTCAAAGCTTGCGATATGAAGACATTGCTACTGACCAAAGGAAGCTAAAGAAAGATCTTGATCTTTTGATGTCAAAGATTGGAGAGTTCACCAATTCGGAGGATATTCCAACCCTTAAGGGAAGAAACGATCCGGAGAAGTTCCTACGGTGGCTCAAGAAGGTTGTACATATCCTAATCCTCAAGGATATGCCTGAAGGCAAAATGGTCAAGCTTGTAGCATCCCGGTTCCAACGAAACGCTTCTACTTGGTGGACAAATATTTCCACTAAGAGAAAGTTCGAAGGAAAACCCAAAGTGAAAACTTGGGAGAAAATGAGGAAGTTGTTGATCAAGAGATTTTTGCCAAGGGATTACCATCACATGGTTCCCTCAAGCCCCTTTAAATTACATACCCCAACCATACCTTTGTCTCCACAAAAATCACCCCATGAATACCCTCCAAAAACACCAAGAGCAAGCACCCTACGTATGTTCCCAACCAATCCCTCTCTTCCCTGAGCCCTGCCCCAATGGTTCCAAACCACAACCCCACGCCCCTACCCCAAATCTCCTCCAAAACTACACCTCCTCTCTCCTTAACTCCTACCCAAGATACTTCCCAGTTCACTCCCACTCCCGCGGTTCGACAGCAACCCAAAACCATACCTTTACCTCTCCTAACCACTGCCCATCACACCCCCAACTCCGGTCCAACACCCCGACCCCAATCCGTCCCCCAAGTCGTGTCTTTAAGCCTACCACAAAACCCCAAGAGTACCCGTGAAGAGTCGTCTTTCTTCATGGTTCAAACCCCCACCTTTGCTCCCCAATTTTCTAAGTCCGAACTACCTTCCTCTGAAACTACCGAAACCATGCAGCCCACTACCCTAAAGATCATTTGGGATGAATATGATGACGAGGACTATAATCCCATTTGGGATGACGAACTTGTCAAAGAGAAGGAAGAAGTGTTTGAAGACGCAGAGGATAACCCGTTTTGGGTTACACAGATAAAAGAAGAAGAGCAAGATGTGAAGACCCATGAGAAAGTCATCACTCCTGACGCGGAAACATCCGCTGGAGACCCATCTTCATTAACGGTACCTTGTACCAAACGTGTTGAGTTTTTGCAGGTCCCGTATGAAGAGAGGATTGAGAAGAATCGTGACTCGAAATGGTCCATTCAGCCCGGTGACCTAGTGTGGGTTCCCATTCATAAGGCGCGTTTATTCAATAAACGCAAATCAAAGCTACAACCCCAAGACGATTGCCCGTTTGAAGTGTTGGCAAAGGTTCACAAAAATTCTTACCTGGTCAATCTTACACGAGGCCTAGAAGTTGCTGCCACGTTTCATCGAAGAGATCTTAGCCCGTACGAGGATTTTGAAGATCTTCCGAGTTTGAGGACAAACTCTTTTGAAGACCGGGAGGATGTGATATCCGGGCCTGGCCCTATCATACCCTCCCCCATGTCCTACACCCTCGCAGAAACCAGAGGACTTAAGTTCAAGCATTATGATCTGTTTTAGTGAGAATTCCGAGTCCTTCAACCCAAGAGGCCAGAATAGCTTCGGACCCGAGGGTTAACAAGCCAACTCCCACTCCGTCCAACCAAACCCAAAATATCCAAAACTTCTTGCCATTTACTTCATTTCAAAATAAAGTTTTTCCTACTCTTATTTAAGCCCCTGGCCAAAATAAGAATGTGTAAACCAAAACATTTTGTTTGTGTTATTTTCCTTCTTCCAAGCCTTTCCAATAAACAAATAAAACCTTCTCTCTTTCTTTTTTTTTTCCTGGCCAATTAAACCTCACAATCGCAACATAAACACCCACAAAGGGCCAAAATCCTGGCCCACCACTAGCCAACTATTCCTGCCCATGTTTCCCTCACAATAACCCAAAGCCATAACTCCAAAATACCCATAAATAATACCCAGCCCTGTCCCCTTGTAATGACCAGAAACAACCATCCATTCTTACTCAAATAATACCCACAAAACCCAGGAAAACAACCACTACAAACCTAAAACCCAAAACCCCACAACCCCCAGCCCCATCCCTGATTTTATTCCACTAAGGAGACAGGAATGAGTGGCCAATACGCCATGCCTTGTAAGAGATTGTTGCAAGGAAGCTTCCCTAAGTTAACATTCAATGTATTGTGAATTATCTCCCCCTTCCCCTGCCTATATAACTCGGGCCTTATGGCCATTGTAACACAACTTTGATTATTAAAAACTCCTTTTACTCTTTGAGTATTTATAAAATAGTGTGATGCTATTTTAGCCAAATTCCTAATTCTATATCTTAAGAGTGGTTATCTTAAGTGTGAGTTTTAGGTTCTAGATATTTGATTAAGTGTGTCATATCTTAATTAAATTCTAGATTCAAACCCCAAGTGAGGATAAGAGTGTAATATCTATTAAACACAAACTTGGTTTATCCATCACTCATTTCTTCCATTCCATATCTCCTCATTTCTCCTCTTAATCTTACTCTTTTCTTCCATTAAAAACACCCAAAAGAACTCCTTTATCATCTCCATATATTTCTAAGCCATTTCCCCACAAAACACCCCTTCTCCTGCCCAGAATTCTGCCCAACAATCGATTATCTTGATTGACAATCGATTATCCATCATCGTTGAAATACCTGCAGCCTTCAATAATTGACTGTCCACTTTAGACAATCGATTATCACTTCCTCTTGAAATCCTGCAGTCTCTAACAGTCGATTATCACTCGTTGTCAGTCGACTATCTTCCCCTCCTGAATTCCCTTGGAATAAGCTGCGAGCCTCAATAATCGATTATCATATACTGATAATCGATTATCCGCTTTCCCTGAAGTTTCTGGGTTTTAGCAGCACAGCTCCACAATCGATTATCACCTGGCCATAATCGATTATCACCTGCTCCTGAACCTTGAACTCAAGCTGCATCATCCCTTAATTCCTTCTCAAAATTATAACTCGTTAAGACCCCCGGTTCGGGTATAACATTTTGAGTGTTCGAGTAAAAAAGCATGTGGTTCTATGTCAAATGATGAGACTTTTTAGAGTAAATGTGGCTATCCAAAAAGCTCGTGGTTCTATGTGACGGGATGAGGTTAGGAGTTTTTCTCGTGTCAACATGACATGGCTATTAAAACATGTTTTCAATTCTGGCTATAAAAAAGTTTTGATCTTAAGTTACTCTTGCAAATGTAATTATCCCAAGTAAATTTTGGAAAAGTTTTGGTTGTTCAGGTTGGTATAGAAATATTAGTGTTACAAAAAGTTTTAAACTTCGAACCATATGAGTGAGAATTTAAGGGTTCATTCTTCTTAAACAAAAATTGATGACTATTTTATTTATTCTTTCCCTCATAATATGTAGTTTAAACTTTTCCTCTGTAATTACTCACTTCCCTCCGTACTTGTAATTATTCAATGTGTTGCTTGAGGGCAAGCAACGTTTAAGTGTGAGGAATTTGATAAGTCCGTTTCGTTCTTATCATTTACATCATATTCTAAACGTTACTCCACGTAAACCGTACTTAATCATCTCATAACTTGTGATTTCAAGAAGAAAAACTCTCATTTTTGTTATAAGAGTCATAAGAAGGGATTCCACATGAAATCATCAGAAATAATCGATTTCATGATCAAATGCTTGAGAAAAAGGGAATAAATATGTAAGGATCAAGATTCAGGATTGAACGAGCTTCCAGGAGGTCAAAATTGGCGTTCGGGCCGAAAATGAGCAAAATCGGGCCAAAATGTCGTACCAGTCATGAAGCCCAACAGACCAAGGGCCTGAGGCATCCAAGTTGGACGCCTGGCGTAGATTGCGCTCCAAGAATGACACGTGGCAGAACCTGAATGGCCTGAACAGCTCAAGCGTCCAAATCTATACGCTTGGACTTGGATGCCTCTACTTGGATGCTTCAGATTATGTCCTATAAATACAGCGCGATTCACCTCATTCCATCATCACCTTCACTCCCAATCTCGGGATTAGAGCTTCACACTTCAATCCTTTATTTTAGATTAGTATATTAGTAGTTTTAAGAGTATTTTCTGGAGAATTCGTGCTCCAGATTCGTTCTATTCCGCTTGTACGGAAGCTGTAAGTTTTCTTTATTTAATAAAATGTTGTTTTAATTTATCTTTGAATAGTATGATTTAGGGTCCGAATCTCTGGGTTCGGACTAATTTGGTTGTATATTTTGAATACTAAATTCATGTTGGAATGGTTAGTTTATTGTTCTTGCCTTATTTGGTTAATTAATGTCGAAAGATTTAATTAGCTATTTATTGATAAAATATTGTATGCCCAAGGGCTATGATATTCAAGTGCAACGGATTAAGTACAAATCAAGAAATGGATGAGTAATAATAGAAATGTTATTATTCCAATTGTTAATTAAATATGATAAAATAGATCCAAGTGATGTTCTGACCCTAGGTCCACATCTACACTTATACTATGTGAAATTTATTTATTATTATTCTGCTCCCCTTATATTCGTTCCGAGAAGACTTTCATAAACCCGCTCTAACCTTCGCCTAATTAGAGTAGTTAAACTAATTCCCTTCGTCCACTCCTCGAGAGACACGACACTCGGAGAGAAAACTAACCCTTTACTGGGAAGGTTTATTTACTACCCAAAAAACTACGATTACCAGCCTCCCTCCTAAACGGGACATAAAACACAAGATTGATCTCATCCCAGGGGATGCCCCACCCAACAAGCCGGCCTATAGGATGAACCCCAAAGAAATGAAGGAGATTCAACGCCAAGTTGATGAATTGCTAGCTAAAGGCTTCGTGAGGGAAAGCCTTAGTCCATGTGCTGTCCCGGCACTCTTGGTGCCCAAGAAGAACAAGACGTGGCATATGGGTTGTGATAGTCGGTCTATTAACAAGATCACGATCAAATACTGGTATCCAATCCCGCGTTTGGAGGATATGTTGGACGAACTACATTGTTCTAAGATCTTTTCAAAGATGGATCATAGGAGCGGTTATCATCAAATTCGCATCTTTGAAGGAGATGAGTGGAAGACGGCGTTCAAGATGAAGTTTGGATTATACGAATGGTTGGTCATGCCGTTCGGGTTAACCAATGCCCCAAGCACGTTTATGAGACTTATGAACCAAGTCTTGAAACCCTTCATATGTCATTTTTTTGATGTCTACTTTGCCGACATTTTAATCTACAACAAAAGTGAAGAAGAGCATGTTAATCACCTCTTTTTGGTGATTAAGAAGTTGGATGAAGAGAAGCTGTACGGAAACCTTGAGAAGAGCCAATTCTTTTCTCAAGAAATGGATTTCTTGGAATACTTTATCTCAAGTGAGGGAATAAAAGTTGATGAAAAGAAGACCCAAGCCATTCGTGAATGGCCGAAGCAAGTTCGAAGTTTCCACGGTCTAGCCTCTTTCTACCAAAGATTTGTGAAGGATTCTAGCACTATCACGGCACCTATCACTAATTTGACAAAAAATCAGAAGTTCGAGTGGAATTCCAAAGCCCAACAAGCCTTCGAAATGATTAAAGAACGATTAACACATGCACCCGTGTTAGCCCTTCCTAGTTTTGACAAGTTGTTCGAGGTTGAGTGTGATGCCTCGGGAGTTGGAATTAGGGCTGTCCATCCCAAGAAGGACATCTGGTGTCATACTTTAGCGAAAAGCTAAACGATACGAGGAGGCAATATTCCACCTATGACAAGGAGTTCTACGCTTTGGTGCGATCACTTGAGCATTGGCGTCATTACCTCATAAGCAAGGAGTTCATCTTTTATTCCGACCATGAGGCTTTGAAATACATCCAAGGGAAACATAAACTCCGAACCCGACATGCTAAATGGGTCGAATATATCAAAACCTTCACCTTCACCATCAAGCACAAGAACGGAACCATGAACTAGGGCGCTGATGCCTTGTCTCGGAGACATTTATTACTGACGGTACTTAGTACAAAACTTGTTGGTTTTGAATTTTTGCAGAAACTTTACAAGGAGGATGAAGATTTCAAAGACATTTACTCAAAAAGTCTCACTCAGCCCTGTGGAGACTTTCTTATCAAAGATGGTTATCTCTTCCGTGGCAACCAACTTTGCATCCTATAGTGCAACATTTGTGAAACCCTCATTGACGAAGTTCATGGAGGAGGTCTCGCTGGTCATTATGGGGTCAATAAGACTCACATGATGATGAGAGAGCACTACTACTAGTCGAAGATTGAACGAGACGGTGAACACTTTATCAAATGTTGTGGCACGTGCCACCTCGCCAAGAGTCACTCACTACCACACGGAAAGCACCTGCCCCTATCCATCCCCTTTGCCCCATGGGAAGATATTAGCTTGGATTTCATCACCGGGTTACCAAGGACACAACGAGGCAAAGATTATATCATGGTCGTGGTGGACTGATTCTCAAAGATGGAACACTTTTTCCCCTGCGTAACCACCTATGATGCTTCATAAGTGGTGGTCTCGTATAGAGATACGAAGTTCCTAAGCCACTTTTGAATAACTTTATGGAGAAAGTTGGGTACTAAACTCAAATTTAGTACATCAAGCCACCCTCAAACCGATGGAAAGACCGAAGTCATCAACCGAACTCTTGGAACTCTCCTCCGAGCCCTCATAAAAAAGAACACCAAACAATTGGAGGAGTTACT